TACAGGTTTCTCCTGTCAATACGCGCATCAAAATCGAGTGTTTCCCGATGTGCCATTGAAAGGTTTAGAAATCGGATGGTATCTCTGTCGTTTTTATTGGAAAGGCAGGACCCCCTAAAAAGCCAAGTATCCATCAATTCTAACAAAATCTTTGTTACCTATATGAGCTCATACTTAATTTAATTTTAAAATAGCCACAAACTTTTTCATCCATTAACCTAAAGTAACACCCGAAACTTCTCTGAGAATTCAGAACTTGGCATTGATATCCGAGTCTGCCCATTTTAACAAAATATAGGTAGACCAGAACTATCCTAACAAAATTCTGAAGTTCGTTTCTCAGAAAACTCGCGCACGAATTGTTTTCAAAAGTTTTTATTACGTTTATTTCGCAAGAGAACGCCATGAAATGCTTCGGATTCTGTACCGCACGAGTTTTGACGGCGCCCGCGCCACTGAGACGAATAAAGCTTTTTGCCGGTTGACCGACCACAAACGTCTGTTTGCACTTTTCTGTTAACATGTACCTTATGTCTTTAATACTAGGATCGAATATCGTCAAGATTGGAGGACATCTGTGTTGATAGAGATCAAGTTAGACTGGTACCGTAAGCCAGCGGTTTGACAAAGGGAGTCAATTTGAACGTAGATATCAGAGGATCGTTCGTGACTCATCTGTCTATGGTGATTATCTCGAAACAATATGGCGGCGTACCGGCAAACTCGTGAGGTTTGCAGTTCTGTCGTGGAAAGAAAATTGAGAATAACTAGATGAGGTTCTTGATCTTTTATTATTGAGCTTATCAAGTTAATTATCTTTGAGCGTCTTATTGAAGATGCCACGCTTCTTTCGTAATAAGAAACTAGCTTTTATTTTGGCGGGAATGTAGATAGACAGTCACAATTCTTCAGATATACTATAAGTAGGTACCTACTTATTATTATCACACGTCTTAAGCTTAAACCAAGCAAATCTGTTAAAAACCATTAAGGGTCTTTCTTTCCAACCGGGGTTTCAGGTGCAAGCTTGGTTCTGAGTAGAAACTTTTTAGTCAGTAAGAGTTTGAAAGAGTCCCTCTTACTCTCATATAAAGATTAAAATACATTTACAATTCTTATTTTGGTCAGAGTGCTTGTGCTTTAGCTCTGTTGCCTATCTAGTATTTTAAAAATATATTCTATTTAAGTAGTTCCTTTTACCTCAACATACTCCAGGCAAAAAAAATATTTCTAGCGAAGTAGTTGTAGGTAAGCATCCGTCGTCGTTTGTAGAAATATGAATCATAGCGTTTTTCTAAGAGCTCCTGTCATGGGAACATTGACGTTCCATTCAGCCAAGACATTTGACACGAGAACGAAATATAATACTAGCGACAGAACTAGTGAGAAGATGATTTCTTGTGAAACTTTAGATAGTAATGTTAGCTTAGTGGTTGTAATGTTGACTGCTGAGGTTACTGGAGTCTGATGTTTGAGTGTTCAAAATTTTCCATGTTTTGCGGCAGAAAGTACCTATAAAAGTATCTACTTACTTAAATTGTAACCAATTAAATATTTCTATTCTAAGCATTCTACGTACGTAACTGTAAGTCGTTGTGAAGGGTAGTAAAGTACCTACCTATCCTATTTCCAAGTCGCTGTTATAACAGCCTAATAAGTACATAGTACTCTATCGATGTGAAGCATGAAGGTAAAATAACCATGAAAGACTGAACATTGGGCAGAACACACAAAAATAAACCTTCAGAAAAGAAACGTATATAGGTAAAATATAAAATCAAAGAAAAATCTAATCAGTTAACGAAACTGACGACTTTGACACGGTTGACGCAGTGGCTGGCCAACTAGCTGTTGTGTGACGTTTTGCGGGTTCGATTTCCGCACGGAACAAAACTTCGTATGACCTATTGTTGTTTTAGGTCTGGATGTAAATCTGTCTGTCTGTTTGGAAACGCACCCACGACACAGAGTAGTGTAGGGCAAAGTTTATTTATAGAAGAAAACAAAGGAAGCTGTCACTTTTATAGAATCATCTGTCGGATAAGACTTTTCTATTTCGGACCACGAAGGTTATATTACAAAACAAAAGAACATTTCTACCTAAACAATAAAGCAATGTGAACCGGCCAACAATATTTTACCACTACCTTAAATAAGCTCTTTAACACTACAAGAACCAATTACTTAAACCTCTTAAGAAATATTAGAAGTAAGTATTAGTAACGAAACATGATCATATATTGTTAGCCTCTTAGTGAAAGGATACCTTGGAACTTTAAAACTAAAACGATATATCTAATGCCCAAAACACGAACTTCTTACACAAGTATCAAGATCTTTTGTTCGCTAAAGATCTTCCGATGGATATACGAACAAAGGTGTTTCAACTAACTTGATACTAGATAGTTAACATTGACAGGAAAATAGATCGGGCTTACGAAATTGCTGTTTGTAGGTAGGTATGTAAAAATTTTGCTAATGTTCGCTAGACAGTAATATGTTGAAATACGTAATGAAATAGGCGTTTTATTTTGTTGACGTTCGTATGTTTTGTAGACACGTTTCACTTATTGTAAGACTTGAATGGGCAGATTGTGCGTGGTACAAATAAATATAGTCACGTTTGCTGAATACGTTTTATATCATGTCTTAGTATGTTCCCCGGATGCATCATCAAAGATTGGTGTAAGTACGTACGCTGCAGATAGACAGAAAGAAGTAATTATCATTTAAGACCAGAAACGAAACTCCATGCTCCAGGTTTACACTACTAAGAGCTCAGGATACCTGCATTCTCTACGAAGGATGTTTACGTGGAAATTTGAGCTTTATTTAACAACCGCAAACATTAAAATATAGTCGACAATCTCGTGTCTTTTAGACCACAACTTAAAAAAAACAACACCAAAGCAATATCCCTTTAATTCCCAGCCACACTCGTAACGATCTCTTGCGTAAAAAAACCGTTATCATATCTCAGATCTCAGATAACGTATGGGGAGGATATAGCAGTGTTTATGGTGTAGCGTGGACAATGGGCTGGTGGCCCGGTAATTACCAGCAGTGCGCGTGGGCAGCCGATAGCGCCTCCAGGACTATTGTGGCTATCTCGCGATCTCACTCTACTAATAAGATTGGCTGATTTGTGCCTCTCCTCAAGCGTCCATTAACCAGAAACTTATGTTTTGTTTATGTTTTATAATACAAGTGTTCATAGTAAATTACTTAACGACAATGCGCAAACCAGAATGTTGATAAAAATACAATTTACAGAAAATAAGAGTAGGTATGAACGTACAATTACTTAGAAGGAACAGTCCTAGCTGTCACTTATAGACGTAGGGCAGAAAAAGTCAAATACTCGGATTTTATCTACCTATCTAAGTATTAGGTAGTCATATGCCATATAAAAATAACGATAGCTAGTAGGTAGGTACCTATATTATAAAGTCTAACATTACCAGCAGCAGCAAGTTTTCAACATTGATTTAGTAGCTGATCAAGCCAAATATTACGGAATAAGGTTAGACAAAGAGCAAAACTGGATCACAATTAGGTACGTATTTTTAGAAATACCTATGCTATGGAATATGGATAATGCAATACATGGGCATACCAAATTCATAAAAAGTAATTTTTATGTAATAGGACGGCAAACTAGCACACCGATTACCTGATGGTAAGCAATCAGAGCCGCCCATGGATACCCGTAGGAAATGAGGAGAGCGAATGCTTGCCGACCTTTTTGGGATTTAGGGATAAGGCCTTCGATAACTTTTGTAAGCAATATAGGTTGAGATTTAACTTGTTGTTTTGTAATGTGATAATAAATAAAATCTTATTTTTAGATGCGTATAAAAATGTTTTTTATTAGTCTGTGTGCATATTTTTGCTGTTCTCGCTTCAAAGGTAACTTCAAATTTCAACAATAAAAAAGTAGGTAAATAATATGGAAGTAACTTAATTAACTCGTACATGCGTGCATGTATATCATTATTAAATGTACCTGCACAGTTCCTTTGATTGTGAAATCATAATAATAGACTGCAAACAAACGACTAGGTACATTGGTAAGCCATCCAATACTAGGCACTTCTTCTTTATATTTTATAACAAGCAGTCGATTGGTAGCTGCAATTTTCAGTTCAGGATTCCATATAAGGGATTCGAGGACGTCTACAGTAAGCTTGTTAATCTGTCGGTACCTAATACTGTTTTATGACCAGACTTTCTTGTTTCTATGCTACAAAAAATATATTGTCATCGCCTACTTAGGTATAACGGTTTTATATTACAAATTTATTGTTACCTATTTATTTACCTAACACAGCTAGAAGAATCAGGCAATGTACGAAGTTGATAAGGTCTACCTGGATATGCGATCACTATTACTTATGTCAAATATCTACCTTGTTCAGGTCTAAAACCAAAAATATTTTAAAGTTATTGAATAGATATAAATTTAAAAAAATCTTTCCAGATCAACTCGATTTAAAGTTCCAAAATAAAGATAAACAAAAGTTCTTACCCTCTCCGAAAAACAATAAAAAAATCTTGAGTTGATTACAACTTCAAACACTAATAGCGTCCAATACACAATATCACACGTGAAATCTGTTCGTATCACTACAACGTCCGTTTACTTTGAGTTATTATTTTAGTTCGATAAGACCGGACGGTTCACTGTTATTTTGAACCGGCGTCTCTCTCGCAACGAAGCACCGCGTGCATTTCAATGGATGAAAGTGTAAACCGTGGTTTTTGTATAGCGCCTTCTCGTTTGCGCCAGCGAGCGGGAAAAAGACAGAGAAGCTGTACTCAAGTATAGCTTTTTGAGTGGAGCGACAACTTCGCCCACTATTTTATTGTTATTCTAATTCTTACATCTTGAGATTTCTTGCGAGGTTCCGGTAACATGTTTACAGAAGACACCAATCTAATAATATGTATGTATTCATAAAATTCAAGGTAAAGGTAGTATAAGAAATAAAAAACACTAATGTGGATCGATCGTTTATTTTCATTTTCTTCCCACAGGTGGCAAGAACCAGAGTAGCGAGCACAACTTAACGTATTAATGAAAATGGTAACTATTTTCAGGGATAATCACTTCTAAATGAATTAACAATTTTCAAACGGGATTTGGTACAATCTAATTCCGAAGCTCATTGGTAAGATAATTTTTATCCTTTACTAAACTATACTTAACTTCACAATGAAGATGCCATTTTTCGCATTGGTAAATATCGAAAATTCTTATTCATTATCCGTGAGAAAAATCGTGAAGTTTGTTTTAGCTTGTCATCAAAGTTATTACATACAGGTCAAAATTTGCAGTGCAATTTTAAGTTAGTGATCCAAACTTAAGATGTGTAATCCCTTGTGTACTGCTCCTACCCCGGCTTATAAGATATTTTTTAAATCTCTAATGATTTTACGAAACTTCAAAAAGAAAATAAAATGATATAAATTGATATGAAATGTAAACAAATATGCATGTAACCAAGGCCACTTATTAGCTATCGGTTACAAGCCGACTTGTCTCTGTGAAGAGAGCATTACAACAAACTGGATTTTTTTCTACATATTTTTTTTGTATTTTTCTTCAAGTGTGCTGATTTGCTACGTGTCCAAAGAACATTTACACAGAAAAACATGTTTGCTCTCGATAAGAAATAGATAGTGTCAAACAAATATTGGTTACTTGCAGATAGTAAAAAAGTTGAAATACCAAATAGTTACTTATTATTTTAACGACAAAGTTCTTATGCCACTTACAAATCATCATGTGGCTCATAAAAAGTGTTGTGATGGTCGGGGACCACTAAACCACCTATAGGAGCACTTGCTTCGACTGGCCTTTGGCTCAGCGTACTTATATCATGATAAACTTCAAACAATGATGAAACAAGTGATTCCTCCTAAGGCTTAGTTGTAAAATGGGACAAAGATAAATCTATCAGACAAATGAATATCGGACAGGTGTTATGATTGTAGTCTCAATAGATTTATTCGCATCCCATTTAGTATTGAAGGAGCTGGCTTAGGTTTGGCTAGTCAATGATTATAATAAGTCCCCGTTACCAAACACCGTAGCTAGCTCCTTTTGTTTTCCAACAAGCATTCAAACATTCCTTCAATACTCGTTGGAAAACAATAATCATCCACTGTTGTTCTGGATAATTAGACAATCAAGTGCATAGGCACATTACATTTAGATTAATAACTAATCAAACATAATATTTTATGCGAACTTGAATCTATACTTTTTTTTTTACTTTTTCATATATTTTTATCGAGGTATCCTTTAGCGAATATCGTTAATGGAATAAGTACAATATAATATGAACTTATGACAGAAAAAAATGAAATACATTATGTGACACGAGAAAATGAATGTGAATTAATTAGTTGAATGAGTTTAAAAATACCCAACCGCTCTAATAACGTAGCTTTAGACAGTACATGAACATTTCAATATCTGAAACATTGTAGAGTCGTAAACTGATGTACGTGTCTACTCGCCAGAACATAACAACAAATATTTCAGATAAAGAAATTGACAAAAGAATTAGCGAACATATAATGATACATCATTTAAAATAACTGAAAATGACTATACATTAATTTCACAATATACTAAATATATACAAGGATAGCCTTCCTGGTGTAATTTTGTAATGATATTTTTTTTTACATTTTCCGTTTTCAGTTATTACAAACAGAAGTAAATCACACTACATAAAATAAATATATAAAACACGACACATAAAATAAAAAAGTATGCACGAATATTAAAGTTTAATATGAAATTGTAACTAGGCAAGGCTTTCAAATGAAATAAATATAAGTCGTGGGGGCCGTGCACAGAACAAGTAAAGGTCGGCGCAGCAGGCGCGGGGCCGACTATTGCCTGTGCACGCGACGCGACGTTAGCACGTCACAGAGCACCCCGTGTAAAATGAAAATATACGAAAATATAACATATACACTTCTTATGTTTTACATGAACTATAATAACAGTTACGCCTATATGAACTGTTACAATCCATACATGGAGCTGTAAATTATGTTACAATTGATGGTCTCCGCCGCTCACCGTTCGTGGTGCCGCCATCAACATCGCAAGGCCTGCCGATACATCTTATAAAAAGTTAACCATCCGTTTTCTGTAGGAAAACGTGCGTCCGTAAACGGTGAACAGCGACGACCAGGCATATATCAAAGAAGAGCACGACACTTAGTTCATCGCATCCGACGACACTCCAGGGGGCTCCGGTGCCCCCCATTAACGTAGTCCAGCTTCATACAAAACTGCTAACACCTTGAATTACCACTATCCGGCAGAACGCGGCGGGTCAACACTGCATCAACAATGAACACAAACCCGCGTCGCGTCTGCCACCCTACATTATATAATGCGGCAAATCAATAAAATCGCCGCGTGTAAAACTTATTCAACATGGACAAAACATAACTGTCCGCTCCGATCTCGTTCGAACCTCGGACACAAAGCCGCATCTCGACATGTCGGCATGGAAACAAGTACAATTCAACGGTGGGTACATCTTTCGCGAATAACGGCCGAAAGGCGTACCCACCGTTGGACATCAGAGATGCGTCTAATCATCTCCTTATTATAATGTTCGCGTTCAAAAATGTTGCAAAAGAAAACAGAACAATTTAATTCATGATAAAAAAATTTGAATGAATTTAGATCGCTTGGAAACGTAAACGAAAAATACTAACAAAAATAAAATACCTGTTCTACTTATACTTTATATTAACAAATTATTAAACAAGTCGGGACGATATTATTGTAAGAATTATATTAGAATCGTCCTATCATGTTTGCTGTGGAATGCGATCGCCTCGTTTTTTGTTAGTACGCAATTTTCGAAAACAAATAAAATATATGTATATTTTCCAACAAAACATTTTTCAAATAAATATATAACTAGCAGAATGCTGCTGATCACCTCAAGACCATTATTAATGCATAATTCCATTTTTTAGGTATAGATAACAATTTATGTCGAAAGTCGACGATGAAGCGAGAGCATTCCATCAAACAATCCTACATCAATATGAAATCTCTACAAAGAAAACATTGAACTAAAATTAACGTTACAATATAACTCCTCCTTCCCGTCAATATCTACAATCATAAGATATGTTAGCACTTCTAGCCTTTCACTTTTGTACCTCAACAACCCTACACACTCGGAGAAAGTAACGTTTCAAGGCTTCGCTAATTAATCCTATTATTATTGCTAACTTTTTCATTCTAATGCCACTTGTAAGAGCAATCGAGCCACAAATGACATCATCTCGATACCGATTACGGTACGTCGTTTTCGAATATGAAAAGCTGGCGATTCTCACTGTTGACATAAAACAATACGCTCGAAGGAAACAGGGGCGGGGGGTTTATATACAGAGTGCAGCACGGTATTAGATCGGGGAAGGGAACTACCGATGTGGCGGCGCGGTCTAGCGCGTGAGCGGGCGGTCGAGCGCCAGCGTGCAGCAGGGCAGGAACCGCGCGTGCGGGTGCGTGCACTGCGCCGCGCAGCGCAGCGCCGCCGAGTGCCGCCGCTTGCGGTCCGCGCGCGTCTCCTCCGCCGCCTCGCAGCCTGCGCCCGCGCCCACGCCCCCGCCCCCGCCCGCGCCCCCGTCCGCGTACTGCGCGTGTGCCGCGCTGATGTCGGACAGCAGCTCTTCCCACTCACGCGACAGCTCGTCGGGCGGCGGAGCGGCGGCAGGCGCGGGCGCGGCGGGCGCGCAGCGCAGACAGGCGCGCTGGCTCCAGATGGAGCGCGCGGCGCTGGGCCGCATCTTCTTGGCGGCGCGGCCGCACTCCTCGCACGCCGCCCACGCGGCCGCGGCGGCCGCCGCCGCGCTATCGACCGGCGTGTCGGTCTGCACACCCGCGTCGCTCTGTCGCAACGGGAAACGCAGTCGCAGCCCCGGCTCGTCGAGGTCGGGACAGCGCTGAGCCGCTGTGAGATTGAGACGCCCATAATCTATGCTGCGTGTAGCGCGGTATTCCAAGTAGCGTTCTTGCCCGGTGCCGAGATACAAGCCGCCCGACTCGCTGCGGCGGAAATCGACAGTATCCGGATCACCACAGATGTCAAAGGTGTCTCCGTCGGCGTAGCGTGGTGGCTCCGCATCGTTCTCGCGGCGAATAGGGCGAAAATGAGTGCGCGCAGAGGTGAGCAGGTCTTCACGTGGGCGGGACGGCGGGCGCGGGGCGGGCTCGCGAGCCACGGCGTGCTGGCGGAGGCCGAGCGCTCGGTTGCGGCGCGGTGGCACCTCGACGAAGCCGCTGCGATCACGGCTATGGTTGATCGCAGTGAAAGAGCGCATCGTGTTAGCAACTGTGCTCAATGCATCGTAAATCTCGTCGCCTTCGTACAAAGCGAACGACTCGAGCTCGCGAGGTTCAGGCTCGACGACGTCGGTCAGGTTCAGCGGCCGGAAGCGATCGTGCAGAGCGTCAGCTATACGCGAGGGTGAATCCCCGCGGTCGAGGGGAGGCGGGAAATCTGCAGCTTCGGTAGACCAAATGCTCTCAGTGAGGGATATGAGACTGCATTTCTCGGCGGACGGATCAGCGAACAGGCGGTCAGAGGGCGATGACAGAAGGTCTTGGAAGTCTATAGGGAGGTCCTGGTACTCATCATCAGGAGTGTTCTGATCCTTAGACCACAGAGCTTCAATGCTGCGATCGAACTTAGCCTCAAACTTGGCATAAAGTTCCTCCTCCATGGGCGTACGGACACGCGGGTTCAGGTCCTCGGTGATGACCCACTCGGCGTCAAAGTCGAGGCTGTCGTCCCATTCAGGCACCATGTTTTCGTTCATTCTAATTTTGCCTTGAGAAATTTCTTTGATTTCGTCTGTAACAGTGTTCTCACACGTACCGTAACCCTCGTCCAATGCTATGGCTCTGATAAACTCTTTCACCGGATCCTGTGTTTCCATATCCCAGACACCTTCATGTGTTACCCACTCTGGTAGAATCTCTTTACTGTCAAAGGATCTACTGTAACTGTTGCAACGCTTCTTGTTGTTTTTCTTTTGACCGTGGTATGAGTTGCGACGCTCCTTGCCCGAGGTTAGTTTCTTGTTTTTATTATTCCAATCTTTCGATACTGATAATTCGCTTTGCATTTTGGTATTGGAATCTGGCGCTGACTTACGACACCACGCCGGCGGTGGGAGATAATAAGGTAATGGCGACTCTCGGCCTTTCTTTAAAGCCGGAAACGCAGCGTAATATCGACGAACAGCTTCAGTTTCTTCTATGGAACACGTGGGCATGCCTACTCGTGACGAACTTTCTTGATCTTTGATGTCCTGGAGTCGTGTGCACAGCTGATCAACAATGTTGTCAAGATTAGGTTCCTGGAAATAATTTACACATATTGTCAAAAGAAAATCAAGTTTATTTACATGCAATTGTAATGTAATGAATGACTAAAGTCATCAACATAAAAACTGAAGAAAATGACCAAAATTGATCTTAAAATCTCGTCAGTTTTGGGGTTTAGATTCATTAACTCACATGAGATATTAAACAATAGTTAACTACATTACATACATTTTTTATGTTGTATTTAACCAATTTTTTAAGTTGCAAATTGACATGATAAATGAGAAATGGTAGGATGACCTTATTGATTAAAGACATAAAATCTTTATTATAAAGAATGTATGTATTGCCCATTTCAAAAGGACTGGAACAAACTACTTAATGATATTAACACCAGCTGTACTAAAATAAATGGATGGATAACACAACAGAGAGTAGAAATATTGAAACTGTGTAATGGACTAAATACTTTTGAAAATAATATCAAAATACAACAAAGGAAAAATAGCATTGCACAATAATAAAAAAAACTAGCATTTCATGTTCTATCTGGATTTATCCTGCATACACAAAAATATGACGTTGCAATAAATAAAAAAATATGCACACAATGATAATGCAAATAATTATTATGAGTAGCTTTTAACAATGGAACAAAGGAAGAATGCAGTGATACTCCTAAAATAGTGTGCAAACCAAGGGGGACAATAAAATACAGTGGTGCGGTGCTTTCATAGGCAACAATCATTTGGAAGGAAACTCCTGTATATTCAGACATGTTTAAAACAAAAAACAAAACTGATCACTCTCACAAGGAAAACAAACATTTTGGTCACAATGACCAAATCAAACACAACATCATGTTGCCTATAAAAATAACATATAACATTGGAATAGATGCAAAACCGACCTTTTTGTAAGGATTCTTATAATTGTTAATTGTCTTCATTTTTACATTCCCACTGTTATGGTCACTTTCCAGTGTTACTGAGCACTGCATTTCCTCTTGAGAGTCGAAAAAACAATAATTAGTGCAAACTGATTATTATTTGATCACTAACAAGTTTACTAATCACTATTGCATCATTAGTATAATTGCTGGTTATCATATTTATATAGTCTATCATTCATTTAATAAAGATCATGACAAGATACTTGTGATGTTGCACATTATAAGTTACAGATTTTTTACAATTTGTATTAATTAATTTCAAGTATTCACTGACGGCTCATATCTGTAGCGCTTTTAGTATCTTTCTCTAGTCCTGTTGCCCAAATGTGAATACAATAAATTATGATAGTGACTTTACAAAGAATATTTACATTAATTGATAGCAATGATGATGTTTTGAGTGGGTGATAAGGATTTAGTATGGCTTACCTGTACCAAGTGTGGGGGTATCAGATGATGGAGTGTGGAGTTTGATGAAGTTCTCTTGATGTGGCAGGCCAGCAGGCAAACGCCTGACTCTCTCTCTTATGCTTACGCATCCTGTCCTTGATAGTGTCTGCCGTTATCAAACACCATCATCTTGTACAATAATCGTGAGTCCATTTTACAATCGCCGTGGGCCGTGTGATATAAATCGATCCTTAAATTCCTCCGTTACTAATACATCCTTAATTTTCTTTGGCCTATTCTTTGCTAGTGGGTCAGTTTTTTTTCCTAATGCAGCGCTTGCTTCAATTTTTATGCAATCGCATTGTCACTAGCTATTAACAAATGACGCACTACGTGCACCCCTTGATTCTGCAAAATAAAACGATTTACTTTTACTATCATCTGTTTTGATGCAAAGGTCATTGAGATATAGTAAGCACAAAGAATTTCGTGAGTCGTGAGTACCATGCCCGCCCCGCCGTGCTAAATGGGTCGATGGCGCCAAAACGTCACCCGACCGAGGGTGAGCGCGGACGAAGCCTCCTAGCGTTCGCAACGTCACCTGAATAACACTTTTTGCTATACATCAACAAAGAGTACTATCACGCGCGACACGGTAATTCTTTCATCGTCATTTTGCTCTGAGTCATACTCTTACTACTCATTTCATCTACGATACGATGCAATTTCACAAATAGACGGCGATGTTACATGATGCACTTTCACTAAGGACGCGCCATGAAGTTACTTCCGCATTGACACATAAAACAAGTAGAATTAATGGAAATTACTCACCTGTAACAGTTTATACGGGGTTAAACTATCATGTTATATCAATACACACACACCCCACATGAAAAAAAACATGGCAGCCGCAATGAGTGAGTGAGAGTCACAAAATTATTTTATTTTGCGCAACTCCGTCAAAAGATTGGTATGACGTCTCATTATTGACCAATCGTATCGCTTCGCTTTTCAAAATCATTCAAGATGGCGGCAGTACAGCCCGTGAGTACATTTCATACACCTTGTGATTCGTTGAAATATGACCATTGGCTAATATCGTAAAACGATGTTACGCATCAACCAATGAGCTTCTAGTATTACAAACCGGATATGTTCAACTTTCACGCCGTCAAAAGGCGGGAAGTTTGAAACGCAGAAGGATATTTTAGTATTTTCGACATCGTAGGTACGTATGTGACGTAGAATTTACCAGTACGAATGTACGACAAGTGTATCAAGGTCAGAGACCAAGTCCATCCCAAATAATTTATTTTTACCGATTAACATAGGTAACTAGGTAAAATTAATTAGTGCTGGGATAATTTTGTAGGTATTGATTATTATATTCTTTGAAGGTCGTAGACCGTAGTGTTCCGAGGCACGATTCACGAAGGTAGCATGAATAAAACAAAAAAATAATTTTCATAGATCTCTTTATTCTCTTACTCTTTATAACTTTATTTATTAGTACATCGAATATAAGATAAGTATATCAATGTACTTAATAGCAGTGACTCGTTGGAAAAAAGTTACCAATACTGTTAGTACCTAGGGTAAAAAGAAATTGGAGCTACATCAGAACAGCAGAAAATTGATTGTATACAAATAAGTAAATAGGTACGAATTATTTATGAAGTGGTTACTCTCTTAAGAGTCTATATATTGAATGCTTGATATAAAACATAAATTATCGTACAATCGTAAGTTAAAGCAATATTCTGAATGTAAACTGTTGTGAACAGCACTCTGCATTTACAGATAATATACATAATATACACATCCAAAGTAACATAATATATTAATCAGGTATCTAAGAAATTACCAGTATTAGTAATATCGTATCTGTTCATTCCAATTTAAAATTGAAAAGAAGTAAAGGTGTATCGCTCCACAATTTGTGCGCAACATATTGATATAACCACTAAAATAAACTAAAATAAAACTTAAACTGAATAGCGATCACAGAAATGCATCAACGTAATACAATACATATGAAACAAAATAACCAGGAATAAATAAAAACATTACAAGTTACAACAAACGAAAAAACAACTTTGTACGGCCTGGAAAGTTTAGGATTATTACCATAACATAATAAAATACGTAATACGTTATTTACATATTCGTGTGTGTTTGATTACATGTTACAAAATGCTTATTGTCATTAGGGTAACACATTACATCAACGTAATTAATTATTATATATTTTTTCTACATCGTTATGATGCCGTTACTCTAGTACAACAGCTAAGCTATATGCGGATATAAGATGTTTCAGGCAGTGCGACTGGATGAACTGTATGAAAATCACTAGATCTTTATCTGTGTGTTATTGGTGATAATATCATGTACTGCACATGCCCGAACGCATCTTAGTTTTAAATACAAACGCCGAACGCCATCTTTGCCAATTTATCGTCACCTAAACCAGCAGGAAGGCATAAAGATGAGTAAGAACATTCCACTAGTTTATTTACACCTTGACTAAGTAAAACTAAGTTACTCAGTGGCTCTCGGGCCGTTTACTGCTGTCTTCGGGTTTGGTGACGATACTTTCGCTCTTGGCAAGTGCCTCTTGTTCCTTGGCTTTTTTCATTTCTCGCCTCTTTTGAGCTTCTCGTATTATGTCGAATAAACTCTGTAACAATAGTATTGAAATTAGTTTTTTGCTGGTTGTACGTAACTGTAGGATTAATCTGCGTATTTTTTATCTTTAAAAATGAGTATTTAAGTAATATATTATTTGACCTTGTTAGACACAAAACATTCTTATCGGACGAGTGGCCTTTCCTTATTATTTTGAGAACAGCTGGCTACCAGATAAAGTTTGATGACATCAAAATGCGCATTCGTATATGAAATGACGCTTGAGATAACACTATAATAACTACCTATAATCTGTTTTGGATTAAAAAATTTCAACAATCACAAAAAATATTGTCAAGACTTTAATAACTTCATTTTAATTAATTTTACCACACGCCCCTTGCAAAAAGTTTACACACATCTGTAAAATCATGCGACCAAGTGTTTCATACTTTTTGGTAAATTCATACCTATAATATTCTTAACGAGGACAACAAAAAGAAAACAACTGAATAGAGTCAACAAAGGAATTGTTAGCTAAGTAAAACTTGTAAGTTTAAATCGCATACACCCATATCATATTCAGTATGGTTTATTGGGGATGAAAGAAAGCAGTGAATTTGTTGTAATTACCTTCCCCTCAGAGACGCTAGGTTTGTCCTGTTCTTTGGCGGCTAACGCTGCTTTGTTGAGCGCCTTCTGTATCTTACTCTCGACTTCAAGAATCTCCTCCTTGTCCAGCAGCTCAATTAGCTCAGCCATTTGCTTCTCAGATAGGTTTACGTTTTCGTTTCCAATTATTTCGAGCATCTGTAATGTGAAAAATACATTTTAAGTATAGTTATATTTGACATTCAAACTTAAAAATAAGATGGAGGCCATATACTATTATAGTCATGAAGCAAACATAATGCATAGTGCATTACAATATGGAGCTGGTTCCGCAAACTTTTTCAAATTGGTTTTTAGCTAAAATATTAACACCCGACCAACACACTCATAAAATACCATTGGACAAAAATATCGGCCTAAAAACGTTACAGACGTCATTCTAGCAAAAAACGCTGCAAACTAGGCAGTCTGAAGTATATAACTAGAATTTATTTTGATTAAAATAGGTGACCAACTGATATTTTTTCCCTTACATATCTACAGATACTATTCTGAGTATAAAAATATTTAAGCAAGTAGCTCGTGTACAAACTATTTAATTTATATATTTAAATACTTTTTTCACAATTGTTGCACAATGGCAGACTTAATGTAAACTTACTTTAGGGCTGATTTTTCCACAGTCAGATAAATGTTATCTGTGGAATAAAATTGTTGCTGTCACTGTCCTATACAAACATCCTGACGCGACAGCATCATAATTATTCCCCAGATAACTTTTATCTAACCATTGAAAAACCAGCCCTTAATATTGCCGAACCCTATGCATATAACATGCGTCATTACATAAGAATTTGACAAAAGTATGTATGTTTAAAAATTCAAGGCTAGACTTCGTTTTAAATAATTGCAACTGATAAACAGATGATAAGCGGTGTTTTATGTACCCAACTAAATATAGCTATACTTGTGCACATTATTTTAATAGGCGTTACAACGAATGCACATTGTTATGCTTGGTAATGGTATGTATTAAGAAAATAATATTCTATAATAGAGATTCGTCTCGTCAAAACGTCATACGAAAATATTGAGACTAAAAATATGAGCAGCTAGATGTAATGTCAATGACCCGTGCAAACAGACGTCCTGTCCTGACCTTACCACATTTAAAAAGTCAATAACCATTTTTGTTTACATAACATCTATGCACTGTTTTAAGGTATGTATTTTTATGTATTAAATTGAGGAAATATAGACATTTTTATCATTAAAAAAAAGTTTTTGTTTCGTAAACTTTACATTGATTAACAAACTTATACGGAATAAACAATTTTTAAAATAAGACAAAAATGCAGCTTTATAACAGCATAAAACACTAGAATTTTATTAAGAGCAGAGATAATATTATAGTAGGTATTTTAAACGTTGACCGTGAAGATTATTAATTTGTGATAACACGGAAGTTTCGCGTTCCATGCAGAAAGAGGTCGCATACTACGTTATCGCGTATATAATCAACCGAGGAATTATATGCGGCCAGTCACGTGTCTCGCATCGTGGAAAAAGAAACAGTGACCTTGACAATACACTGGGTCATTTCGACACTTGCCCACCACGTGGCGATTTGACAATACGGGAAAAAGTTCCTTATAACATTATTTTTCTAAGTCTTTTGTAGTGAAATTCCTATGAATTTCGATCAGATGTTTAAACAAAATGTAAACGTATTGCTATCGTTTACAATTTTTTATTTTCATTCATTCCTTATTCACTATGTAGTTAAGACAACAATATTTTAGAGACACTTTGCTCTTTATGAATTGAGTTGAAATTAAAGGATGCACATGGATATGCCATAAAATTTCCTAGTGCCGAGACGTACACGCTGCTCATGAATAAGAACCGCTGTGATTGGAAACAAGTAGAGCTTTTAATTAGCGTGAATTAAACTAGAGAAAATGGTTGCTTACACTAATGAATCTCAAGATATAATTCAACAACCCAATGGCTGTTAGCCATGGGCCAACATCGCCAATTCTTTTATGGTTGTCTTCTTTATACATAGTCGGGAGAAAGTTCTTATGAAAGAAAATTTTAAAAAGCAGAGGGAGTAATGTGAAATAGTGGCAGGATCGGATTGATAGATATTTAAAATTGTTTTTAATGCCTTTTAAGTTGGGGTAGAAATATAAGGTTACCTACCGCCAGTGCCATTCCACTAGCAAGCGAGTTCATAGATTTGCAATTGTTTCATAAACATTAAAAAAAATAAACTTCATACCTTCAATACATCATCAATCTTCAACTGCCCATCAAAGTCATCATCCAGCCTTCCTAGCACATCCTGAATGAGTTTCAGTTTAGCTTCATCTGGCACTTTTTGTAGGCTCTTTATGGAATGCATCAGTTCATCAATTTGAATCAGTTGTTCCTTCGCTTTCTGTGGTTCAGCCTTGGTTTGTTCTAATGTGGTTTTCAAAGCCTTTTCCTTCGTTTCCAGCATTGCTAGAGCCGCATCCAACTTGCTAATCATGTTATTGACTGCCTTGTATAATCTGAAATGACATTAAAGATGAAAAATGTTAATAGGGATGTTGGAAGATACGAGAAAATGACGCAAGGCAAATGCGTTGTTGACCTTTTAAAAAAGAGTTAATGCCGTACTCAGAGAGTTCTAAAGGGTACTCTTGTAAAAAAAAAAACTCAGCTTAGGACTGGGTGACTTCGGCTGTGCATAACAATGTTATGTATCTTTTATGGTTTTTAAGACTTGCATTACATTTCCCGATAGTCTATAGTTTTCATAAGGGATTAAAATTAGTCGGCTATGATTATTACAAGAATCTGATTAGAATTGTAGCATTCTATGATGTATCTTCTATAATATAAGTTTAGGAAATATCCGAAGTGAACTCTATTCTATGAGCCTGTTCCACCACTTTCATATTAGTTTCCCGATAAACTTATATAATTATGGCACATTGTTCATGTAAATTATTTTTTCTATTCCAATTTGCCTTTATTAGGTTCACATTATGGTGAAACAGGCCAATTTTGGAGAGGAGAAAGTCATGAAATGACTCCTCTCGCTATCGTTGTGACTAAAAAGAGTGAATATCTGTTAAAATATAAGTTTAGACTAGAGACAATATTTTACTTGACATGATTATGTTTTATGTACATATAGTCAGGGGTCAAAAATGCAATTGCACTCTACCAATTTTAAAATGACTAAAATGTCTTTGATGTAAAAGTTTAATGGTTCACAGCCAGTTTATTTAATAATTTAGATTCTATGCTATAAATTAAAGCAGTTCTCAACCATTGACTCTATTATACAAAGATAATTTGGTCATTTTAAAATTGGTAGAGTGCAATTGCATTTTAGACCCCTGACTGTACATATGCAACAAAAGGATGTTTAAATAAATTAAAAAAATATCAAGGATTTTATCTAAATGTAAATTCTAAATCTTTCTAATGCGCGTTGACAACAAAATACATTTTTAGACATACTAAGCGATCAAATAAACGTTATCAATAAAGATAAATGTCACAGAATGTAGGTAACATTGATAATTATAATAATAACCTTATCTTTTATCTAATAAAACAACGAAATCCCCTTTCTTAGTGACGCAGTTAGACGATGCAATGCTTGTAAATGCTTGGACAGACTTGCACAAAATTTAATCATGTTTGCCTTATAAAAATTACAACATGTTATTTCCTGAGTAGCATGACTTTTTTGGAAATATCATAAGTATCTTCCGGTAACCTCACTCACACGTCGAAACACAACGCTGTGATTGTTTCCCGCCGGTTTTCTGTGAGGCCTTGGTATCACTCCGGTCGAACAGACCCATTCGTGCCAAAGCATGGCTCCCCCACACTTAAATGTATCTCGTGTATCTATTCATCCCTCAAATTCTATTCACCCCGTTTTAGGTATTGATTAGCAGTGAACCAATCGATACGGGCTGAAGATGATGATATTACCATGTCAGTCCGACAGTAAGTTAGTCAGTACTTTAGTCAGTCTCAACAATAAACTATAATTAAGTAATGTAGGTAAGTATACAGGTCAGCCGGGGTAACGGGGCTAGCACAATATGGTACCGCGGCCTCGGCCTAAAGCAGGAGTCTCACACTCTTTCTCTCTCTCGCATCACTCTGGGCGAGAGAAGTCCATTGATGATTTCCCCCTCACAAAAAAGAGCGTACAGGTAAAGTGTGGGAAAGCATAGCTTTGCTACGAATGGATCATCTCGACCTGAGTAATACCACACCCTCACAGAATCAAGGCGTGAAATAGTATTTGTTGTGTTTATGTGCCGCCAAGGCTACCAGGGGCACATATACTCATCCAATGCCATCTCCAATCCTGAAGGATTCTTAACCCCAAGGCTAGCAACGCACTCCTTTTCTGGCGTTACAGGTACCTATGAATTTACTACAGTCAACCATAGTATTGCTTAACACCATAGCTGACTGTAGTAAATTCGAAATACAGAATTTTGCCAAATGTAGACTCTGAACAAAATTCCATACTCCATCCTACTAATTGAGAATGTTCACAGTCATTACTATAAACATAATAGTGTACATAACATTGCTATTATTCTTTAAAACCTTATGATATGATGTTCACATCTGTACGGGTAGAGCAGGAAGCATTTATTTGCTTACATACTTTTCGTGTCTCAATTACTGATTAATGGACTGCATATTTTGAACTCTAGACTGTTCTATGAAATAAAACTTTTTTAATAGGATATTTATGCAGTTTTCTCCCGCTCAGGTAGGGCAAGAGAGAGTGTTAGACTCTTAGTGGTAAAAATGCGAGGGGTGAATAGACACAGAAGAGAGATGAATAGATACTAGGAAAGTTCACCAACATCTAACCCCTCAAATTGTGTTCACCCTGTTTTACAGCACTCTTGAGTAGGAAAAAGGTTTCCTACTCAAGGCCGGGTCGCGGTAACACTGCGCTTTATTTATATCTATTTTTTGAAATAAACTTTGCCCCACACTAGGATTTTTTCCTGTATCGGGGGTCTTTATGAATTGTTTTAGCAGTCCCCCAACTTGTGTGCTCCTCTCCCTTGGCAACCGACTATTGATAGTGGGTTGTCATGGATTGTGGGGGTTTCCGGGGACGAGAAACTGATCTAGATCAGTTTCATGTCTGGGGAAGCGCATGTTTTCAAATTTCGGTAATCAAGGCGGTACGAAGGTCATTTAGTTCATATACATAATTCTGCTGTACGTCTGTTTAACATTGAACTGCCCCTAAACGGCTGGACCGATTTAAATGATTTTTTCTGTATGCATGAGAGTAGCGCCCTGGTTGGTTTAGATTAATAAATCAGCCTTTTAGATGTCGTTGATTGCTTGTAAAAACATGTGATCTCAGAAACGGCCGTAACGATTTTGCTGAAATTTGATATGTGGGGGTTTTCGGGGAGGGTTCACTAGTGGAAATATAAAAATACCTGAGAGCACCCTTCGAAAGTTTAAGATCTGCCTGTTTAGTCTTCACAATTTCATGCATCTCCTTCACATCCTCACTGTAGTCTAGTAGTTCAGCTTTCAGCTCCTGGATGCTCTCCTTTTCAAGAAGTAAGGACTTCTTTTGTTCAGCTGTGGATAAGAGAACAGAAAATATATTAATAGTGGTACTCATATTTTATTGTATTTTTTATTATATTAAAGTAATCATAATAGTGATGTTTTAAGAAGATCGAGCTCAGTGGCATGCGTTTCTCTTCTCTTCTTCTATAGATTTAGGTAAAAATTTGCGTCATTAAGTTAAGTTAATTTAAAATAAGTTTTTATTACGTTTTATAAGCGACTTATTTGAGTACTAAACAGTATCTAACCATCCAACAGACTACTATTTTTTTTTTAAATACTCATAAAGATTTGTACACGATATAAATATGTATTTTCATATAACGTTGTGTTTTCTATGAGTATGACGTAGGTTATAAACATAATTGATGGACATGACCTTCGGAAATACAGACTGCGACATAACATGGCTATGGTACTTTCACATATGTATGTGTTTATGTATAAAATGACGTAATCATTGAGATGTTATGTTTATTGATTAAAATACCTTTATATGTATGTATTAACTGTACATTGAATGTTACTGCAAATAAAAACTGGAGAATAAGTATTATGTAATTTAAAAATTGACAGGGAGGTACCAAAAAGACCTACTAAATAAGACTACATGGTTGGAATGCAATGAAACAATGAAATGTCACAGCCGCCTGTTTCATCAACTTCTTAAAAACTTGCACATGTCTTTTGAATTATTACATTAAAAAAAAATATAGCTCAAGCAATAAATATAAAAAAAACATGTGTTTTGACATTAACAAACCATAACATCCTGATTTAAAACACAAACAAATCTTAAAAAGTCTGAACTCAAAAATAAAATTCTATAAAAGAAAATCTGGCACTGAATACTTATTTTCCAGAAATTAAGAGATCAAACGATAGTAAATGCGTAAAATGAAACGCCAAATCAAAGGTGAATGGACAACCCCAACAATTGTAACCTTGGCAGTGATCCAATCCTTCCAACACAATAAGGTAGTAGGTTCATATAGGAAAAACCCATCTCATATAAGGAAAATAGTATCTTTCTTTAGACAACATTATTACAATTAAATCTTTTATATTCAGGCGATAATGGGCCATAGATATACACACATACATAATAATGCTACTTTATTAAATAGGACAATTCTTAACCAACTATCTAAATGAATAGGAAATACATAATGTGGGTATAGGAAAAAATTGATATAATATTGTGATTACCTAGATGAGTCTGTGGTGTTATCCTATTGGCTAGAATTTAGAACGGAAGAAGAAAGAAACATATGAAGTGGACATAGTATTTCAATCTCCGGATGCGGATGTGTAATAGGAATGTGCAAAGGTAGATGTAGCATTTTCCATATGTTTTTTTTTATTTCTTCATCAAGACAAATTCCAAACTTTGTAGAAGTTTTATTGAAACACTTTTAATTTTATTTTAGGTAGAAAATTGTCGATATTATCGCTTCTCCTGCCCTTGGTGGGATAAGAGGAATTGGGTAGTTTTCTAGGTCAAAAATAAATTAATTCGATGATTCAATACAATAAAATATTGAAAACTAACTGTACTTTTATTCATCGATCGATACACTAAATTTTAGATATTTCTTATCATTTTTTTAATAAATAAGTACGCTAAATGACGCAAAAATACTATGACGTCATAACTCAGTATTTCATAGAAAAGCATCGTATTTGACATTTGGATAAAAATATTGAATTTGACTAGTTGGAAACTTAGGTATTGTCAGACTCTTAATAACTAAAAACCTCCTACTCCTTCTCCTGCTAAGGGCCAGATCTGCTGTTCATTATAAACCAAAGAAGTTCTTATGCCTATTACTATTCGCCATTAACGGCTATTGATAATAAAGTTTCCGTCATATAATAAATTGTAGACATTATTATCACCTCTATAAGTATGTATAATTAACTAACCTTAGAGAAATTTGTTTATATTACAAATACCTATGATTCATAGTTTGCAATTGCAGTGCAAAGTTCCCGACTGTACTAAAATATCCAGGTTATTTCCAAGAAATTATGGCGTAGTATGTTGCCAAAACATTAATACTTATATTGGTTCTCCGCGGCATTGGCCTACAAGGAGTTTCATTATCAATAATCATGTTACATAATACTGAAAACTAAATTAACTATCGCAAATCACCGTAAGCACAATATTGCAGTTAAATCATTTTCAACTTTATTACTCAACGAAATAAAAGGAAAAATGCCGCAAACTACAATTTAACTGTTGTCAATCACAGATGATATATCGTAACGTAAAGTTATAAAGTTAGTTACCGAATTTATCGCTAAGGAGATAATGGAACCAAAAACCGTATCAGATTTATCAAAATCGTATCATCGACCAAAGAGTATTTGTTTTCAACTTTGTGTTTATCTTACGTAATAATATACCTAACATAGACTAGGTTATCTATTTTTTTCTACCTTATTATAGCCCTCTAGGTCAAAAATAAATTATTTTGATTAATCGCTACTGTACAGTGAATTAGTCGGCGGTACAGTACTCTGCCGTCACCACTCGACACTGGCAGTATAGTCGACAACATTATATTGGAGACTCAGTTGCCAACAACAACAACAAAAAAATAAATAAATATAATAGTACTGCTATTCATTGACTGACAATATAATTTTTATTTACTAGAAATTAGTTGCGATTTAATACAAATCCATAGAAAAGTATAGTTGTTGTTGTTTTAATAAAAGTATTGAATTGAATTGAGTCACGATAAATTTCTTGCATCGTTATCATGTAAAACATTAAAGGGAGCAATATGCACCTTATAATGATAAACTAAATAACTAGTTTTAACCGGATACATGTTGCAGGCGTTGTCAACCAACAAGATCACTGAAGTCAAAGATAAGGAAACGGCAACCGATCTGTATCGCGACGAAAACCCAATACAAAACGTTTTCCAACACTATGACGTACTAACACGTTTTGTGCACATGTCCTACACAATTCTAATAATATAAATGACAAAACAAGTAGAACACGTAATTAGAAGCATCTCAGTATGAACTTGAACTTCCGTACCTAGAAAAAGGTGGATAAGTGCCAAAAAGAATCTTACCTAATTTCTCTAAAGCGTCTTCAATAACTTCAATGTCTTTGCCAGAAAGTCCTTCCTCAGACTTTGGTTTAGGAGTATCTACTATGATCACAGGTGCTGGGTCTTCCATAGCAGGTGATGTTTCAGTGTCAATGACTGGAGCTTTATCTTTGAGTTCTTCTTTCTCCCTCTTTTTAGCCTCAAGGATTTGTTTCTCTCTCTCTGCTTCCTGCATCTCTTTCATTTCTTCCTTGATCTTTTGTTCCTCCAGTTTGATAGCTTCCGCTTTAGCCTGAAATTAATATTAAAAATTTTTAGACATAAAAAATGGCTTTGAGTATAGTCAGTCTTTGCTATTTTTTTCATGAAGTAAGTTCTATTGAACAGATTTTTTTCTCAGTTAATAGAAATATTGATTGAATGTAATTACTACCAATGTACTTACTGCTTCAGCATGCAGTTATTGTAAATATTCAATGATGTTTTATGTGTGATACAATCAAGTCAAGAACAGTTAAAACACATCAAGTATATGATATGATATGTTACCTTGAAGTCCAGTTTTCCTTCCTTCTCTCCTATAGCAGCCTTAGTCTGAGTCGCCACTTGTTCTGGTAAAGCAGATATTGTCGCCTTCAGTTTGTATGTTGTGGGTACATGTTCAGGCACCATGAGGGCTCTTGACAGTAACAGCAATGATGGTGGCACCTTCTCATTTAATGACAAGTCCAGCCAATTCCTTAACTCCTTCCTCAACCGCTCTTCTGATACACCATAGGCCCTCATACCCCTAGCCCTACAAGCTTGCTGCAACTCACTAAAGTTTAAGCTCTCCACACCCTCCTTAGCAATCACCTTGTCATCTGCAGCCAGTGATCTTAGTTTCATCTTAAGATTAAACCGTAGCATGGCACTGGTACCAATAGTTGATGCATTCAACACTTTACACAAAGCAACTAAATGCGGCCTCTGTAGTGAATCTAATGTGATCTCATCTTCAAATAATTTTGAGAATTTCATAATTTCTTCACTGGTGGCAACATCTCCTGATGTCCTGATCCTACTAAAGAAACTGGAGAATTCTCTAGCCAGCTCTGAGTGTCTATTACTAGCCTGTGGAGCCATCTGATCTAATGTCTCTTGGAAGAACTTTGCAATCTCCAATTTCACTTTAAAATGTTTTTTTAACTTGGCTTCTTTCTGATCAGTACTCTCAAATGTGGATGGCAATGCATTTGGGAAGAGTTTTATATAAAAAGGCAGTGCAAACTCCAAAAATGGAACAACTATAAATACAATAAATGGAACCATTCTAAACAGATCACCAATAGTGGTAACAAGAAGTCTGTGCTCCCTTCGAGTCAATGTGTCACCTTTTAATATTTTGAAGAATAGTTTCGATGAGATCCTTACTTCTATAAAGAGTAACCTAAAGCCATGGTAATAATGTCGTAGTTCATTCATAATACGCTCCTTTAAACTCTTCTTTTTCTGTTCCTCTTTTTTTGGAAGCTTTTCTTGTTCTTCAATACCTTTCTTTATAGTTTCAACGGTGGCTTCAACCTTTGATGAAGGCTTTAATGGTTCTTTGTCAAAGTGATATCTACTTGTGGTAAAAGTCCTGATGAATTCAGGATGGTATAAGATTCTCGTATTGAATGGTTTCTGTGTAATATCATGATGCAGTCCAATAGGCTGAGTTGTATAATATGACAATGACCTTGAGAGTGTTATGTATGGAAAGTTTAGATACTGCTTGTTTTCCCATAGTAGTGCTAAAAAATATACAAATATTAAGTAAAATAACAATCACAATCATTAAGGACGATTTTTAAACTAGTATTTGTAGACATTACAAAACATAAGCAGGAACCATTTATAATAAAATTATAAGTAAACTAGGCAAGCTGCAAAGTTCAATGTTTGATTCCTGTAAAATAATTCACCTTTGATCTATTTTGTATCTGAAAGGAACCTCGGAAACCATGTGACGGTCATGACGAAACTTTAAATATAATTAGATAATATTGTTTATGTTATTGGTTTGTCACACCCAGTTTCATACTTCCTATTTACAAATAACAAGGCATGGCACCATTATGTAAAAGTAGCATTTTCCACGATGAAGTCATACGAAGGTGTACATAACAATCAATCAAAATCCGCTTGGCTTTAGGTTAAGACATAGATATACGACATTTCCTACTAAATATTAATTACTTACTTGATTTTTTGATGCATCGACATTGGTTAATAATTAATCTGTTCATAATGTTCGCTATTCGTAGGGCTTTATCTACTGAAAATATTGAAAATATAACAAAAACAAAATCAACCCTTAGTACACCATGACAATCGAGAAGAATCACAGTCCAAAGCACAGATGAAAAATATAGACTAGCAATGTTTACATTTTATAATTTTTCCGAAGTAATTAATTATTTATGGTTAAATGGAAACCGTACAGTTAAGAAAATATTTTATTAGTGTTAAGCCGGTAAATACATGTAATTTCTGATCAGTTAGTACTTTTTCAGTATTTTATACCATATATAAATTACCAGAATAAAATTGATATAAAATCCGATGCCAAATTTAAGTTTTTTAGTGTCATTGTAATCGAATCTGGAAGGCTACAAGGCTACAAAAATTGTTTTCCGACCATTGTAAAACTTAGGCATTCAAGAATAAAGATTTTTTTTATTTTAGGGACTCATTAAGCTTCTATATTTTTTATTAAATTTATCTAAATATATAAATATCAAATGGCCATACACCCTCAGTCTGACTTCAAGAATAAGCACCATCGACACACTTTTGTTGTTTTGGTGTTTACTTGCAGACATAAAACAAAAGTCACAGTTAGGTACAAACAACAAAACTGTTTTGTGAGTGTTTAATATATTTTAGTCTTTTTCAATCTTTGCTACTATTCTCGCATAGAGTCATAAAAGTATCGAATAAACTATTATGTCTAGTGACAAGTGTCATAGTCGTAGTCGTGTCATATGTCACCAGTCACAGTCACGTTATTGATTTGAATTTCGACATAACCTGACCATTGATTGCCATTGATTTAAAATTGTAATAGTTGTTCAATTAAAACATAACAGAAAAGTTAAATGAATATTGTTCGCTGGTACTTAAAACCCAGTTTTGTTAAACAGTTAACAAAACCTGTTGGGTTTCTTTCACACGGTAAGTTTGTTTACAGTATGTATTACATAGTTAAGTTATTTATTTATCGTAATAAATTCATCCTTACTTTAGCAGAAATAAGTAATGCTGAGAGTTTACATTTTGTATTGTGAAATGTAACAAATGAAATGAATTGCTTTTTAAATTTCCTTCAGAAACCATAATGTCATTATTCTATATCATTTCATTATATTACCCCGATAAACTTTTATGGCACATAGTTAATACAAAATAAGTGAAAATATATTTTTAAATTATCTGGCACATAGTGGCTTTACTAACTTTAACTTTCGCGTTTCATATTTACAACATATAATTACGCTGGTATTAACGCGTAAAGTATTTCTGGTTGCACAAGTCATGGTCGCAAGCAGACTGAAGTGGCTTTGTTGGCACATGTGACCTTAACTGATGCTCTTAACTTACGACAATAACAAAATGGAACATGTGGATGTTATTGTTGTTATCAATATTATTTGTGATATTTGTGAATGTTATGACTAAACAACATTAATTTGTTTCCAGCTGTCACTATGTCTTCATCAGCATTCAGAAGTGCAGCAAAAAGGATTGTATGGCTAGACCTTGAGATGACAGGCTTGGATGTGGAAAAGGACCATATTTTGGAAATAGCTTGTGTGGTTACTGATGATGACCTGAATGTTGTGGCTCAAGGCCCTAATATTGTCATCAACCAGCCAGATAGTATCCTCAATAAAATGTCTGACTGGTGTATAGCTCAGCACGGTGAGGTATTAAGTTCTTCTTTTTAATATTTTTTATATAATCTCATCTTCTTTGTACTAATAACTAAGCATGTTTCTTCAGATTATTGAAAGTTAAAAGTATTTAGAACCTGGGTAGGGTGATGCTTTTAGTTTTGAAATAATACTGTGAGGTACAGCCGGTAGTTATGACTAATTTATTATTATCTACTTCAACTAAATTACATCATTGCTCTAGTTAGATGATCTGTCAAGCCAAGCTGGTACCTATAGCTTGAAAGTCAAGCCATTGTACCAGATTGCCAAATGTTTTTCTGTATAAAAAAATCATAGCTCCTGTCATCATCCCGTGTTGAAAGCAAGTGCTGAGTCTGAGAAACTGGACAATGCAGTGGGTCTGGTGGACTCTAGAATTTTGTTGTTGTTTGGTTTAAATAAACATTGCCCCACACAAGGATTTTCTCCTGAGCTGTGGGTGTGTTTACAAACATACAATTTCACATACACATCATAGAACCAGATCCAAAACAACAATTTATAGATCACACAAAGAGTTGTTCAGTGTGGGAATCGAACCTGCGGTTGTCACTCATAAATCAGTTGCTTGTTGATCTAACCAAACCGCAAACTGATGGGGCAGTAACTGCTCAAGAAGTCCTCGGCTCGGGGATACCAATCACGATAGCCCCTTTCCACGATAGTGGGTACATGTCGTAAGTAAAGGCGTTATTGAAAATTGCCGACAACATCTGGCCAGGGAGGAGTTTGAAGAACCTGTTTGTCATTTCATCCTGGACTGGCTTTTCTGATTAGGGTGCTAGCAGGGTTGCTAGGAAAGTATTGATGCTCTAAGCTCTTGGCTTGGCACTCGGCTTTATCCTCGTCACTGCAGGCAACGCTTTTATCAGGGCGTGTGACGGGCAGATGTGTTATAGACCCTCCAGGGGTAAGCAACTTTCTCTGAAGCTCCCTGAATGCTAGGTGGTTGGATTGTAACTCACAGAGTCTTGCTCCTTTGTTTTCCGCGTAACTCTGCTTCGCTGTCGCTTTACGCTGTAGGAAATGCATACGAGTCTTGTTGCTACAGCAGAGGAAACCCTTGCAGTAGTGTCCAACCGAAGCTTCGGCTTCGTATTCGGCCACCTTCGGCCAAAAAAGAAACTTCGGCCCAATCTTCGGCTTCGGCAAAAAATTTACCGAAGGTTTGGCCGAAGCCAAAGGTTTGCTACTTGTCAAAATTTTTAATTTACTGAACGATGCTAGAGCGAGACCGAGAGTGTACAGAGCAGTATAGCCATTTTTCATCTATTACAGACTTACCATAGTCTGTATAGTATGCATTCATAGCTCTAATAATTAAACATGCATCAGTTGTGACATTGTGCATACAATTTATCTACACAAAGGATATCTGTTAATGAAACTATTTCTTTCGTTTCAGAGTGGACTAACAGAAGCTAGCCGCCAGTCAAAAGTAACTCTGAAGGATGCAGAGCTACAAATTTTGGATTTTGTTAAATCCCATGTGCCAGAGAAAAAGTGCCCTTTGGGTGGCAATTCTGTATACATGGATCGTTTATTTTTAAGAAAATACATGCCAGTATTAGACAACTATCTTCATTACAGAATAATAGATGTCAGTTCTATAAAAGAATTGGCAAAGAGGTGGTACCAAAAAGAGTATTCACTCATGCCAATGAAAAAATTCAAACATCGCTCCATAGATGATATACTTGAAAGTATAGATGAATTGAAGTATTTCAAAAAGAATATATTTAAGGCGACAGATAAATTGCAAACTGCAGTTTAGAGTCAAATTTGTACATTATTAATAGACTTATTCTTTATACAAATATTAGTTAAATTTTACAATACTAATTTATTTGTCTGTTGTCAGTTGCAGTTGTTTAATCTGTGTCCTGTTTCTGACTATCTGCCATGTAGTAAAATTGCAATAATTGAAGAATTCTCAAAGGTTTATATTATAGCTACTACGGTTTAAGGCACCATGGTCTGTGCCCAGAGCAGGAGAAGGAACGGGGGTTTTTAGTCAGTAAGAGTCTGACACTTCGTCTCGCCTCACCCTGGGCGAGAAAAGATATTTGATGCTTTTCCTCACAAAAAAGTGTACGGTTCTGTTAGTTATGCTTATTATATTTGATATCATAGCAACACTTTACCTCATAGCAAAATAATGTTTTGTTTTGTCTAATTAAGATTCAAGTGAGTGAATCTCGGTAGATTACTGGGTAGTTGTATTTTGACATTTCAAAAGTTCCGTTGTATTATTATGGATTAGTTGGAATTTGTGCATTTTACGCGAAACCTTCTGCTCTGCTCAGCAAAACTGTGGAATAATCTTTCGGCAGTGGTAGTTTTGAACGGGTTACCGATACTTAGGCAATGACGTATTATATATAGACACGTCATGAACCAACTTCGCGGCGCTTAAAAACGGCGAAAATACTAGATAACTACTTCTACGAGTAAAGAAAGGGAAAGAAAATATGACATCGTATAGTGGAATGCCTTTGCTAGAGGGAGATAAATATACATCTTCAGTAATAGTAAAACTACATTTTCATAAGATGGCCGCCATAAGATGGCGGGCGCCGGCGTCGAACAAAATAAAATAAAAATAGGTTGTTTGGTGAACTTACGCATGAAATTACACATTTTTGTCTTTAACTTTTGGAGTATAATTTGTACATCGTCTGAACACACACGACGGCATGCTTTCTTTATGTTTCGCACAGGTTTACCCACACGATATAAATTAAAAACAAACGTAGCGTCGCGCGGCAGGTTGGTGCGTCACTAAGCGCGATGTTGTCAATTGCCTTCATTTCATATTGTCATTTTAGAGCGCGGACAACGTATCTATAGTTTTATACATCATTGTACTTAGGCCGGTAATGTGTCTGTGACTGTGACACCTCTGGCGCTGCTGGTGTGCATGGGGGGCGCAGATCACCTACCATCAGGTGATCCGTCCTTGACAATGATATTAATGTTATTTATTATTTTAGTTGTTTTATGACATTAATCAAATCAGATGTTTTAATTTATTGAAGTTACCAGAGGGAGTCCTTTTTGATTAATATTTGCGTAAGATAGAGCAATTTTTAATGTTACACTTTTTGGCGGGAATTGGGATAACTATCGATTGTGTATAAGGGAAAAATAAAAGAAAGCATAATTTAAAAGTTGTCACGAGTTTTATTTTTTCCAGACCTTATCAGAAACACTAAGCCCAGTTTCTCACGGGCCATGGCAACTTTAAGTTATCGGGCATCCTGTTATTGCAGCGATATGACCCCTGTTTGAGGAGTGGCTTGAGAGACGCCACGGCGTCCTCACCTTCCGCCTGACGCAGGTGCTTACCAAGCACTGCAGCTTCGCTAGGTTCCTGTTTCGGATCCGGCGGGAGGAAACGCCCGAGTGTCGTCATTGTGAAGACCACCCAGGGGACACGGATTAAATCAACACCTACATAACTAAGTAATTGCCTTTCTTATTTTATGAGACATTTTTCTACTGCTACGTCATATAATTAACACTAGCTAGGTACCTACTCTCGCGCGGTTTTAACCGCTGCTCTGCTCCTACAGATCGTAGCGTGATGTTTTAGCCTTTATAAACGGACTAACAAACAGAAAAGGAATCCAACCATCGGGTTGCTGGTCAAAAAATTGAATTTATTTCTAAAGATATTTCCATATAGCATTTATTTTTTATTTTGCAATATTTAAAACAACTCTCGTGGACCAACCCCACAGACAACCAGGCATTCTAACGCAGACGGTTTTTCTCCATAAATAATTATTTATACAAAATATATTGTATAATATTCTTTTTTATTTCGTTGCGGGATCCATGAGGAATTCATGTTCCTGGGACGGCCGGACTTCAGTTTTCCGTTGTTATCATGGTTAATTGTATCTACTGTAGATCCTGGCTTACAGAAGCTGCAGCGGTTTCGGGGTTGTAGCGAGTTTGCCCATAAAAAAGACCTATCAAAAGTTATAAGTACCTAGTAGAGAAGATTTGAACCCAATCTAACGTATCAATCGAAATGTAAGTTATTTAAGTTTTAAGTAGGTACATGTACTGGGTGAAACCCCACGTAAAGGGTTTGTCGTAGGTGCAATCGGAGGTAAAGGGTTAGATGCAGGTGAAACGCAACGTAAAGGTTTGTCGTAAGTAGGTACAATCGGAGTTACCTAATGGGTTTGACTTATATGAGACGTTACGTTGAAGGGTTTGACGTAGGTAAAACCCTACTGTCGGGCTGTCGTGGTGGCCCGGAGGTTAAGGAGCCCGCTTCTCATACATGAGGTCGTGGGTTGTCGAAACATGGCAAGTACCAATGTGACTTTTTCCGAGTTATATGTACTTTCTATGATTATTTAGACACCACTGACATACGGTGAATGTAAACATCGTGAGGAAACCTGGACTTTTATAATTTCTAATTATAAGTTTGAAATCGCCAACCCGCCTTGAGCAAACGTGGTGATCAATGCTCTAACCTTCTCCATATGAGAAGAGGCCTTTGCCGAGCAGTGGGCACTCATAGGCTGCTGATGATGATGATGATGAAAACCCGACGTAAAGGGCCCAATTCCCTATTATAATAAATAGTGAACGATGACGTCGATTACCTATGTACATCTTCGGAATCGAGTTCTGAGTCACCATCGCTGTGAGGGACAAGAAAAGCAAGAAAGGAGGAACCTGGATGTAATTTAATGATTAAATGCCTTGTACCTACTAGATAAGAATAGTTCTGATAGGTACCTAAACCTAAAAGGTCATATAATAATGGACCTTCAACAATCTGATAAAGTCTGAAATTTTTGGTTTTGTAGCTGTATGACATCGTGTTAACTTCCCGAACGCCACCCATCTGAGTTGGATTCTTCGGGCGACCTTAGGTACCTTGTTTCAAATTCAAACCTTCAGAGGAACTCCCTTTCCATATCCCTTTCCTGGTGTGGTTCTTTCATCAAAGGACCACTACAGAATGAACTTGCACGGTTCTCTCACATTATGTTATTTTTACATTGTCTGGACTTGAAAAGAGACCTCTGAGTTTGTTTCGGCATTTCTTCTCAGAGTAGTCAGATAGGAAATGCCGGCTTCATCTAGTTTTTCACATATAAATTGACGTGTAAAAGTGCCGTTTTATGGCCTATTTGCAAAAATAAATTCATTGTTTCATATTTCGCTGCGCGACTTTAACTTTTCTCTTAATCGATGTCAATTTATATAGAAGTAGGAAGTAGGTATGTACGATTGACGATTTATTTAATTTTAGGTTACAAACGCAACATTGCAAACTATACTAGTGTATCTTCTCCTTAGAAGTTGGTATGGTTTTACCATAAAATAGAAACAGGATTAAAATAATTAGGTACCTAATAAATTCAGGTCTTATTGTTGGGAGAGTCAAGTGACAGTCAACCAATTCAATTACCAGCTAAATGGCTATTTCATTTGCATAGAACTGAGTTTGAATTCTAGATGCAAATGCAAGTTCGCCACAGTCAAATAGATTTGCCTTTTAAGTGGGATAGCTGCTGCCTTAGCTCTGAGATAATTGCTACTCGGCCAGTCAGCTGTTGTGTTTTGTTCCTATGGTACTTAAAGCGGGAAATTAACTGGGAATCGATGCTGTTCAGTCCTATTTATTAGAGGGCTTTTATTGAGAAGACTACCACATGCATGCATTTTTTTTCATGGGATACGTCGGCGAACGATCATACCAATTACCTGATGGTAAGCAATTGGCGCCATCATGGACACCCGCAACAGCAAAGGAGTTACGAGTGCGTTACCGGTCTTTTGGGATGAGGGATGCGGATATTTAAGGATTGGGAAGGGTTAGGGGGAGGAGGCGAGTTTAAGCTTACGGTCACCTCACTCACAGGGCGAAACTCAACGTTGTGCTTGTTTTACGCCGGTTTTTTGTGAGGCCGTGGTATCACTCCGGTGGAGCCGCCCATTCGCGCCGAAGCTTAGCGCTCCCACATTTTAAATATCCACGCAGACAGAAGAATACGAGTCCCATGTACCTACCTAATAGAGGGAGGGTCTATTGGACATGTACAACTGGGTAAAACAAAGTTTCCAAACCGTCTAGTTAAGAAATAAGAGAGTACCTACTTAATATTATTTTTATTATTAGGTATTTGTTCCATTTTCCGGCATTCATGATGTCTTTCCAGTCGCCACTTATCAACACCCATAATCGAACCATAAAACAAGACCATTCCATATAGAAAAATGAAGACATTAATCTCCGAACAACAATAATCATAAGTTTGAAGGAAATCGAACGACATTACCCTGGATGGGCAAATTGGGGTCGTACAAATTAACCTTGAACAAAATGCCCTGTCTCAAGGGATAACGAAATTGTCTTGGCACACGCAATGAATTTAATTATGATAAAATATGAAGTGTTGGGACCCTTGGTAGACAATTTGTTTCATAGGTGGCCCGGTGTCCGGGATGTTTGCTGTCGACTCGTCGGTTTTACGTTTTTGACCTCTATGTTTGTAGAGTCAGCAGGGAGCGGACTCCTGAACTGCGTAAGCATGATCTTGTTAGAGGCAGTCATCGGCCACAAGTGTTGGTTAGAATTTATAAGACCCTTGCTCATCATTGTGGTTTCTTCCAACTACTAACCTATAGCGAAAATTAACTTAGGTATCTATCGAATACCTACCTAGACTCAGCAGTGCGTAGCATCAGTATTCATTTAGGTACTAAGTATGTATGTAACTATGTATGTTTTCAAATAAGGTCGGTACCTAGTACCTATTTGTACCAGCCAGACAGGTTGCTGTCTACTTAGGTAGGTACAAAAAGGCGCTGCAATAAAATTTTAAACTGGCTGAGTTATCCAACATTATCCCAATGTCGTTATTTGCAATAAACAATGAATAGGCTCAGTGAATAGGCAAGTACCTACTGGTTATTGTTTTTTTTCATCCAAGGAAACAAAACACGCTAAGATCTGCGACCCATAGAAACTTTATATGGCCAATAAATAATTTTCAACACATAACAAATGGTTTATTCTGACCTAAACTTTATGATGGATCATCAAAACTTGGAAATATTCACAAACTCACAACTGGCTCGGTAAAATTCGGAGAAGAATTTGACGTGAACTTTCCCTCCATTTTATTGACAGATTGAGTCGTAAAGGCGCATAGAGCCACCTGTCGCGCAAACCGCACAG